CCTAGGGTTCCCCTACTTAAAATCCTGAAACCAGGGTCTAGGCCAGTTCCCCTCAGTTGAGTGGTGCAGGTAAAATGTCAAGCAACGGCTCAATGCCCATTGCTGCGTGGAGCCCTGGAGGTAGAAACTGCTGTGGCCCCTGCCCTGGAGGGGCTCCCTGCACGCTGGAAGAGATGCCCAAACATAATTTACTTCATACCTAAAGAAAGAGTTAAATCTCTAAGTCTTCCATGCTCAGAGGATTTCCAATCCGGTGGGGGCCCCTTCCTCTCTCAGCTTCCAGAGGGCAGAGGTATCAAACCCCATCCAGCAGCACCTCTCCTCTCCCTTCAAACATGGATGCCTGAGGAAAGGGCAGATGTAGTGCAGCCTCCCTGCCTCTGTCCCCACTTCTGTGCCCTGCTGACTGCCAGAATACACCCCCTCTTCTGCCCCTCCTTGGGTGGCTACACCCCAAAGCTCTGGCCAAACTGCCACCCAGTGTTGTGACACACACCCCCCCCCACATACCCCTCCTCTTCTCCAGCCAGCTGAGCCCAGTCTGCTCCTAACTTCCATGGCTTGCTCACTCTTGCCTCAGAGCATGCCCAAGCAGCACCATGCTAGGAATACCTCCATTCCCTGAACTCATCCCATGGAGCTTTCCCTCTGGGCTCTAAAAGTTCACCTCTGGGTGCCTATGAAATGGTCTTGCCACCCCACACTGACCTTTTTTTAAAAAAAGATTTATTTATTTGAGAGAGAGAGAATGAGTACGGCAGGGAGGGGCAGAGGGAGAAGGAAAAAGAGAATCCCAAGCAGACTCCCCACCGAGCACAGAGTCAGATCCTGGGCTCAAACCCACCACCAGAAATCAAGACCTGAGCTGAAACCAAGAGTTGGATGCTCAACAGACTGAGCCACCCAGGCGCCCCCACACTGACCCTTTTTATCTTAAAATCTCTGCATAAGCCCCCACCTCCTTCAGGAAGCTTCGCCTTGATCCCCCCTACCCACATCTTACCGCTTCTTTTACACAAGCCTCCTTCTCCCTCACCTTGTGGCACGAGAGCTTCGAGCTTCGCTCTTTGCTACTACTCGCCAACTGCCGCCTGCAAACATTAGCGGAGTGCTGGCGCTCGGTGGCCTTGGGGAAACCCAGTTCTCAGTCCGTATGCTTTATTGATCATCATAGCTAGGATTTATTGAGCCTTGCCCAGGAGTACGGCACACGGTCGAGCTCATTACATATGGTAACTCCCATCTTCAGAGCAACCTACAAGGTCACTTCCTTACGATTTCATGGACCAGGAAACCGAGGCTCAAGAGGTTCGCTATTTTGTCTACAGTCTCCTGGGTCCCTCTGAGCCAAAGTCTGAGTGTCTTCCAGCAGGCCAGCCCCCTTCCCTTCCCAGGACTCACCCGTGAAATGACTGGATCAGACAGCTGGCGTAAGTCAGCCTGTCCTTTTGTAGCTAACAGGGCAGAAACCCCCAGAAATGTTACATAACGAGAGACAGAGGTGCCCTCTGCTCTTCTGTCTTACAGGTAAGGAAACCGAACTCAGAGGCCATGTGGCTCCACCCAATGAATATCAAACTAAAAGTAGGGAAACGAAGTCTGTCTAATGGACAGTTGGGCCCCTGGTTTAATGCTGCTTATGCTGGAGGCTGCGTGATCGGCCTGTATTAAAAGGCACGCTGCGGAGGGGACCTGGGCGGGGTGATGCCTTTGTTAAGGGGACTCGCACTGTGGGATCCCCGGGTGGCTCAGAGGTTTAGCGCTGCCTTGGGCCCTGGGAGTGATCCCACAGTCCCGGGATCGAGTTCCACACTGTGCTCCCTGCATAGAGCCTGCTTCACTCTCTGCCTGTGTCTCTCATGAATAAATAAAATCTTAAAAAAAGAGAGAGAGAGAGAGAGACAGAAATTTGCACTGTAATCTTTATTGTTTAGAACTGAATCACAGGGGGAACCCTGGGTGGCGCAGCGGTTTGGCGCCTGCCTTTGGCCCAGGGCGCGATCCTGGAGACCCGGGATCGAGTCCCACGTTGGGCTCCCGGTGCATGGAGCCTGCTTCTCCCTCTGCCTATGTCTCTGCCTCTCTCTCTCTCTGTGTGACTATCATAAATAAATAAAAATTAAAAAAAAAAAAAAAGAACTGAATCACAGGATTCCACCAGTTTGGGGGGTTACACCCCTCCATGATGGCAGCCCCGACAGCCACATCTTCGGAAAGGCAGAGAGATGGGGTGGTCCTTACGGACTCCCTAAAGGAAAGTATTAGCACAGCCACTGCCCCCCTCCAGCCTTTTCTGCCTCAAGGTATACAAATAATCATAATAGTCCCTTGTGTTTTACGAGTTTCCAAACACTTCCCTTTATCCCTTGGTTACATACTGCAATAGCATTTAGAGATTGGGCACCATGGGCAGCCCCGGTGGCGCAGTGGTTTGGCGCCGCCTGCAGCCTGGGGTGTGATCCTGGAGATCGGGGATCGAGTCCCATATCGGGCTCCCTGCATGAAGCCTGCTTCTCCCTCTCCCTCCCTCTGCCGTGTCTCTGCCTCTCTCTCTCTGTGTCTATGAATAAATAAATAAAATCCTTAAAAAAAAAAATAGAGATTGGGCACCAGAAGCTTGCAAAGGCCAAGAGACTTGCTGGGTGGGAGTGCAGTGCTGGTCCCTGTTGTTCATTTGTTTCCCACATATCAAGCTCCCTCCACGTGCCATGCCCCATGCTAGAATTGAGGAGGGCTTCCCGAAAGAGGCATGGTTTCTGGGATGTGCCCAGATGCTGGGGAAGGCAGTCCCAGCCCTGATGCCAGCAATGAGCTGGGCTTGCAGCTTTTCCCATGGTTGGCTCCAGAGCATCTCTCAGAGATGCCCCCGGCTCTCCTCCAAGCTCAGTCTCTCTAGGCTCTGGCGCACGGAGAACCAGCCTGTCTTTGCCTACCCTGGCCAACACAGCCCATCTCCCTTCTGGGTGCCGCTAAGACGCTCTCTCCCAAAAGGTGCATGCCAAGGCCCACGCTGAAGTCTGGCTGCTTTAAGAGCAGGGTTGAGTGGCCACCCTCCAGCATCTTCTCAGCCCTACAGGGCGTGCAAATGTGAGGTCGCGGTCATCCTCAGAGCTGTTCAGACCACTCCTCACACCACAACACACCCTTTGGGAGCACATACGTTTTGCCCACGGAAAGTGCCCTTTCCTTTTAGGCCAACCTGGTGGCATCTGAGGGCAGCAGCTGCAGGATGCTCACACCTGCTTGACCTCTGAGAACCAGCCCCTTCCCACCAGGGGTTCCATGCAGTGCAGAGAAGAGGCTGTGCTGACATTCCATCCTACCCTGCCCCTAAGCGTTCAGCCCCAAATGCCAGTGCCTGCCAGCAGCAGGGTCCCTTTCCTCTGTGTCCCCTAAGTCTTCCTGGCCCCGGGGTAGGAGCACCTCCTGCATTCTTTCTCTCTGCAGACATGTGCTTGGGTGGGCCACAAAGAAACGCACCTCTTTCCTGGGGCTGACCCTCCAGCTGTTCTTAGGGGCTTTGGGACACCTGCTTGGCTGGGTTTGCAGCCTCCCCCTTGTCCCCCCTAAAAGGCTAACATTTCACCTTTAGAAAAAATATGCGGGTTGTTTCTAAGATGCACCCAAGCTTGTTTCCTGTCGGGGGGTGGGGGGGGTGTCTCACCTTCCTGGCTACGTGCGACATGGGAGACAGGGATCCGACTCAGCTAGGTGACTCTGAGACTGTGGAAGGTCCCCTCCCCCCCTCCCTGGCCCAGCACAGGCTCAGGAGGGCTGAACTGCCCACAAAGCTCGGGACACCCTCGCTCTGCAAATGCGGAGCACATCGCCCGCGCGAGCCGCTCCCGGAGGCTCGTCACCTGCTTCAGGGGACCTCCTCGGGAGCTTCCAGCCCGCCGTTTCGCTGCGCTCGGCGACTACACACGGCAGCTGCCCGTCCCCCCGACACGCAGGACGAGCGGTCGGGCCTGGGGGGCCCGCGCAGGCGTGGAGCCGCCCGGTGCCCCAGGTCCGCGCTCCTTGTGCCCGCAAAGCCGCCCGCCGCCCGCCGCCCGAACCGAGCCGGGGCGGTCCGCGCGGGGCCCGGCACCTGCCGCCCTCTCGGGCCGGGAGCGGAGGGGACGGTCCCGGGCCAGGGCCCCGCGAGCGGCCGCACCGGCGGGCGCGCGCGCAGGGGCTGCCCGGGTCCCGCCACGAGGTGCGGCCGGGCCGGGGCGCAGCGGCACGGGGTCCCCGCGGAGCCCGGGCCAGCACTCACCGTCGTGCGACAGCGACAGCGGCGGCGGCAGCAGCAGCAGCAGCAGCAGCAGCGGCGGCGGCGGCGGCAGCGCGGGGCGCATCGTGCCCGGGCCTGGGCGGGAGCAGGTGGCTGCGGGCCGGAGCGTGCGGGCGGCCGGGGCGGGGGCGCGGCGGGAGGCCTGGCGGGGGCCGCGGGGGCCGGCGCCGACCCGGGGCTCGCGAGCCGCGCTCCGGCGGCCCCTCCTCGCGGCCGCTGCGGCAGAGCCGGGCTGGGGCGCGGCGCCGGGCGGCGGAGCAGCGGCGGAGGAGCGGCGGCCGCGGCGGCGGAGCGGGCGGTGTCTGCGCGGCTGGGCCCGGCGGGGCTGCGGCGACTCCCGTCCCGTCCGCGCCGCCCCCGCCCCCGCCCCCGCCCCTCCCCCAGGAGCGCGCGGGCGGCCGCCGAGGGCCGGGCCGGGCGGGGCGGGGCGGGGCGGGCGGGGCGGGGCGGGGCGGGCGCCGGGAACAATGAGCGCGGAGGAAACTCCGCCCCGAGCGCGGCGGGCGGGGGCGCGGGGGGCGCGGGGGGGGGCGGGGGCGCGGGGGGGGGCGGGGGGGGCCGGGGCTCCCGCCTCGAGACCGCCCCCGCCCCCGCCCCCGCCCCCGCCCCCGCCCGGCGCGCAGGTGCGGCCCGCAGCGCCTCCGCGGGGATGCGGAGGGTCCCCCGACAGCAGCCCGAAGCCGGAGCGAGGCGCCCCCGGCCTCGGGTGTTGGCTCAGGGCCCTCGCAGGCCTCGGCCGCAGCGCGTGGCGCGGCCCCCGCGGGGAGGCGCGAGCGCGGGCGGGCAGGTGCCACACACCTGCGGGCGGTCGCGGAGGCCGAGTGTGCGCCGGGCGGGCTGGACCAGGTCGTCGCTTCATCCCGCCAAGCCTGGGTTCCCTCCCTGCGAAACGGGCACGATGGGTCAAAAAGTAGGGCTTGCTGGGGGGTAATGCGTGCCCGTCTGTGTCCTCGGGGCCTCACCAGTAGTATCTCGGTCACTCTTCACAACAGCCTTGTTTTCAGCCTCGACTTGCAGACAGGGAGTGGAGTCCAAGAGGTCAGAAGTCCGCCCAGGACCCAGGACGTGGTGACTGGCCTGCCTGCCTCTCAGAGTCGTTGGGAGAAGCGCTTCGCGCAGTGCCAGTTGCCCAGCAAGCATCAGCTATTACCCTTCTTCTTGCTGCATAAGGAACAGCAGTGAAAATGCGGGGCCCTCGGGTCACGCCCGGTTCGGGTTCCGAACCCAGCGGTGCCCACCTAGTCAGTAGTCAAGACCCCAGGCGAGCTGCCCCCGCTCCCGCGGGGCTTCCTTGCGTCCGTAGCAGAGGGACAGCAGCGGCCTCGGGGGCTAGACCCGGGGGACGCAGCAGGAAGCGGCCCGCGCTTCGGGGACGGTGAGAGGACGACTTGGGGTGGGGGCGGGAGTTGAACCCAGTGCAAGGACCAAGAACGCCTTCCCTTTTTGTTGTTGTTTTGCTTTTGCAAAATTTGTCAGGTGGGGAGGGAAAGGAAGTCCCCGCAGCCCCCCGCAGCCCCCCGGAGCCCCCCGCGGAGGAGGCTCGGCGGCGGGCGGGGGCGGCGAACCCTGGGGGGGGAGCGGGCGCGGGGAGGCGGGGAGGGGGTGGGGGTAGGGGGCCCCTTGGGTCTGGCTCCCTGGACCCCTGGGCTGATGATCCGAGCGCCTTCCAGATGGTCTGGGAGAGGAGGCGGGGGCCCGGCCCGGCCCTGGGAACCTGGAGCCTGAGCCCGGTGCCGGCGGCGGCGTCCAGGGGCGGCCGAGGAGGCGCTGGAGCCCTGGCAGCGGTTCCGCCGGAGCGAGCCGGAGCCGGAGCCAGGGCCGGGGCCGGGGCCGGAGCCGGGGCCGGGGCCGGGGCCGGGCTCAACCTTGGGAACGGCTGACCACGCTGTTTTCATCGGGAAGTTACTGCAGGATCGTTCTGACCCTGTTTTCCATGTCACACAGGGGAAAGACAGAGGGTGTTCCCTGTAGATACCGTGGGACGAGTGTGACTATCTTTGATGTATTTTAATACTGTTCCCCTAATATCCATGTCAACAAAAGCCTGTTTCTCTGTCTGAAACTAAGCAGTACAAGTGAAAGAAAAAAAAGGAATTAATTTAAAGACTGATGTTATATGCTCTCTGATTTAAACAATGCTTTGCACTCAGAGATTTAATTTCTCTCAAAACCTGGAAAGGAACGTGTTAGTTTTATAAAGGGAGAATATGTGCTTCAACACTTGGGGCATTTTAAATTCCCACAATGTAGGATGGGTCCAGTGACCACCAGATTATGCTAAATTTCAAATGAGAGCAGACATCTGGGTTTAGGAAAGGGGACCTGCTCTTGCAACTGAGAATTTAGCAAATTAAGAATGCTCTGGACCATCCCAGGTATCCAACCCTCTGCCCTCCCTCCCCCTGCATAGGCACACACTTAGGCACATGGGACTTTCAGGAATGAGGCCTGAGGCTGCCTAGGCTTATAGGTCACGAACAGTCAGTAAGCAGATATGTCCCCAGGTAACTGGCCTGTGTCCTTGATCCTATGTAGCAGCTTCTTCCCACTGGCAAGCTCTCTGTCCCAGATCACCTGAGCTTGTGGTGGAAACTCTAAGCACTTTATAAATGCTATTCACAATCCTTTTGCGATTCATTACATTTTTGTTATACTTATGCCTGAGTTCACTCCCCTAGAAGATTTTAAACTTTTTAATCTAGAGTCTTTCTTATTCAACTGATACGTTTTCAGACCACCCAGAACAGCGTAGCACATCACAGGTATAGATACAGGTACAGATACTGAATGCAAACATGAATGCCAACTGGGAAATATTACACAGGGGCCTATGCCACAAGGTTTAAACGCTTTTTCCCATAGTTCCTTTTTTTTTTTTTAAGATTTTTATTTTATTTACTCATGAAAGACACACACACAGAGAAGCAGAGACACAGGCAGAGGGAGAAGCAGGCTCCATGCAGGGAGCCCGATGTGGGACTCAATCCTGGATCTCCAGGATCACACCCTGAACTGAAGGCAGACGCTCAACCGCTGAGCCACCCAGGCGTCCCTCATGGTTCCTGTTAAAGTCAGGGGTCATGGGCCCGTGGGTGACATAGCTGGTTGAGCCTCTGCCTTAGGCTTGGGTCCCTATCCTGATGATCCCAGGGTCCCTTTTCCTGCTCACTGGGGAGCCTGCTTCTCCCTCTACCCCTCCTCTCTACTGGTGTTCTCTCTCTCTCTCTCTCTCTCTCTCTCTCTGTCAAATAGAATCTTTAAAAATAAATACGTAAATAGAGATGCCTGGGCAGCTCAGTGGTTGAGCATCTGCCTTTGGCTCAGATGGTGATCGTGGGGTCTGGGATCAAGTTCCCCATCAGGCTCCCAGAGGGGATCATGCATTCACCCACCCTGAGGCTGTGGCACCTGCCCATAGGTGCCAAGAATGCCCTTACTTTGGTTTTCTAACCCCTGACCTCTGAGCTCCTTGGGGGCCCCCAGAGTGGCATTTCCTTCATCTTGGAATCTCAGTGCTCTGTGCAGGAGCACCTGACTTCGCGAAGATGCTCAATACACAAAGGCTGAATAGGTAAAGAACCGGTTGGATTTTTATCGACAAGGTTGGGCTTTATCTTTGACAGCCACATTTTTGATTCTGTGAATAGCAGAGGGGGTTCATGTTTTCACCTCTCCCCAAAGTCATGCTCTTAGGTGTGATTCTTCAGCAGCATCTGCTCTAACAGGCAGAGCGTGCCAGGATCTGTGCACCGTGCTGAGCACACAAAGCTGGACGGCCAAGCCCCTGCCCTCTCCACACAAACAGCTGACGGGCGGTGGATGCTATGGTAAGGGTCATGGGCAGGCACGAAAGGAGCACGGCACAGGGTGGGGAGGTCAGGGAAGGCTCCTTGAGGAGGGTACAAGGAGTGAGACTTCACCAGGGGAAGAGCAAAAGAAAAGTTATTTCAGGGATCCCTGGGTGGTGCAGTGGTTTGGCGCCTGCCTTTGGCCCAGGGCGCGATCCTGGAGACCCGGGATCGAATCCCACGTCGGGCTCCCGGTGCATGGAGCCTGCTTCTCCCTCTGCCTATGTCTCTGCCCCTCTCTCTCTCTGTGACTATCATAAATAAATAAAAATTAAAAAAAAAAAGTTTAAAAAAAAAAAAAAAGAAAGAAAAGTTATTTCAAAAAAAAAATAAAAAATAAAAAAAATAAAAATAAAAAAAAAGAAAAGTTATTTCAGGCAGGTAGAGAGTTAAGGAGCTGAGAACTGCAGGTATTTTGCCTTCAGCAAGGTGCAGATGCCTGATGACAGGTGGTCACAACTCTTGGAAAGGCCAATATATCTGTCCCCATCCCAAAGGACCTAAGCTCAGCAGCAGTGGGAGGGAAGAAGAGGGACCTGACGTTAGAGGTACTTGAGAGGCAGAATTGATAGGTATTAGCGACTCATTGGCTGTAGACATAGCACATGGTGTGGTGTGTGTGGTGTGTTGAGGAGTCAAAGGCACGGCCGGCGCCCAGGGCTCCAGGTTTCCCACTTTGTTACTGGGTGGATTGTGTCATGGTTGATCGTCACTACCTGAGATGGAGGACATGGAAGAGAGGCAAGTTTGGGAAAAGAAGATGATGAGTCCAATTTTGAACACGTCAACTCTGAAAACCCGTGGGGCACTCAAGGGCCACGTCTAGAAGTTATATCTGAGATACTGAAGCTCAGACCTGAGAAAGTTCTAGATATAGAGATTGAAGAGCCATTGATGTGCAGGCAGGAGTTGGAGCCATGCACCTAACTGTGATTCTTCGAATTCCCAGACACCTCAGCTTCAGAGCGAGCCTGGGCCCCATGGATGTTAGAGCCCACCAGCACCCTCATCACATGGGAAGAGAAGGCCAGGAGAGCTGGGCTGTACCCCCTCACACCGCCAGTATACGGTGTGGGCTCCAGAACCAGAAGAGCTCTCCAGCCACTGCTGTAACACAGCCCAGTGCCTCCCTGTCAAGATTTTCTGCATTCATGCATCTGTATCCTGGGCTGTTGGTCTCTCAACTCAAAAAGCCACAGGTCCCATGGCAGGAACAAAAGATGAGCTGTGGAGATACAACGGGGGGCGGGGGGGGGGGGGAGGAAGATAGAAGTCAATTCCTAATTGGGCTGAAATAAAAGAAGCCCAAGGCATCAGCTTCAGCTATCTTGGTGACCCGTTTGCCCCAACCTGCTTTCCAATCTCATCCCCCACTTTGCTCCGGACGATCCCCTCATTCCTCTGCCCCTGTGTGTTAAAAACAGCATGCAGTCAGCTTCTTCGGCCCTGGAGCATGCACTTGACTAGTAAGTATTGCACTTGAATAGTATCGCATCGAGCTCTGTCTATATTCTGGGCATGCACTTTAGTCTCCTAAAATGACTTAATCCTCACACAACCTGGAGAGGGAAATACATTACCATTACCCCATCTTGCAGATGAGAAATCAAAACTTATTTCCCTGGCCTCCACCTGAAGGCAGATGGAGCTTTGTTATGTGGCCCTCCTCTCTGGGTGTTGACCTGTATGTGTCTCATTTTCCTGATGGGATCTGAGCCCCTTGAGGCAAGAGCCTCAAGGCTCCTTTGGATCTCTGGCACCCTTGGCAGCCCGCAGCTCTCTATCTTGCACCCTCCCCTCCTTCCTCTCCTGTCATCCCTCCATCAGCCACCAGAGTTAAGTTCACAACAATCAGGTGGATCCTGTCCCTCATCTGCTCACAATCCTATCTGCTTCCTGGTGAACAAAGTCCTGGACACAGCCTTCCAGCTCTCCAAAATCTGGCCCTGACTAACTTTCTTGCCACTTTCTTTTCCTGTTGAGGACAAGGCTCTTTCGGTACAACTGTCATCCTTTGCCTTTGGATCTTTGCCTTTGCTTCTCCTAGAATTTCTACCTGTCACAGGTTGGAAGGCTCAGATGTCATGCAGTCTATTCTGGTCTGACTTCCACCTCAGAGGTCATAATCATGTCCTCATCTGGGTTCCCGTTGCCTTGAGTTAATGCCCTAATTCAATGACCTCGAATGGTTTTCCTGAGTTATATACACATATAGACCACAAGTTCTTCGAGGGCAAGAACCTCACCGTATTTATTTGTGTGTCCCTTCCATAGCATGATTGAATAGTGGGCGCTTGATAATAAAAATGATGTGAAGAACACCTGGAGTTCGATGATCCTCACCACACGTGCTAGCACTGAGCTAGGGGTTTTATGTGCATAGCCTTATTCAGTTTTTGACTGATTAGGAAATCCAAGTGTTTATGGAAATTAAATAACTGGCCTAAGATCACCCAGTTATTAAGTAGTGGAGTCGGGATTCCAACCTGGCAGCCTGACTCCTAAAGCCACACTACAACTATACCATTCAGAGTGAATAAATGCATGAATGAATAGTGATATTCATTATACTCTAATTTTGCCTGCTGTGTTTCATAAACATGGCTAAGATGAAATGTCTACCCCAGGGGCAATCTAGAATACACCATGCAGATGAAGCAGAGCACTGGTGTGTTTCTCAATTCAAGAAATGATCGTTCACCCACACA